AGTTTCGTGAATATATGCGGACCGAACGTGACGTGGGGCGGGAGACGTTCGCGTAATGGAAGGGAGGCGGGAGCAGTTTTTTTTTTTTTCGTTTTCGTGGACCGTCTCCACTTAACAATACATCCCTTAAATATTTTAGACAAATTTTGGTAATTTCTTGACTATCATGTACTTTTTTATTTGACATCATCCATCATACATAATTATAATTATTGAAAATATAAAGGAATACATGCATCGGGGAATGTTGGTCTAATAAAGCCCCTAACCATATATTGTATTTGTCTAATTAATATCACTTTCATGCTTACATGGATCCAAAATCACTCAGAAAATATCAATTTTTGGGAAATATTATAGAAAAAAATTATTAAATATCTAGGAAAGAATTTTATTTTATCAAGTATCTCGATCCTTTTTTTTTAAAATTATCATCACATATAATTGTTACTCTAGAAAACACAAGAGAATCAAGTGGTTCTTGATGTAGGACTAATTGTGCTCCAATATATTCAATTTATTCTATTTCATGATATTTTTAGAAAATTTCCGTGCTTCCTACATTTTAATTTTAAACAATAACTTGTCTTTATCCCACTAAATGGGATCGGTTACTTGCATCGTTTGTCTCGTTTGTGTCCTATTGAGTATCCTGTTTTTCATTTAAAATTGTTTCGATAAATTTTTTTGCGCCAGCTAAAATAATCCTCCATTTTTCACATACGGGGCGTGGGACCCAACAATGTTAATCTCTTTATTTTAATTTTAACAAGCGAATAATGGCACCTTTTGTATGGTTGGATCTCATTACTATTTAATTATTCCTCATTATATTTAATCTTGGTAGAATCTTTTAATCTGCATGAAAAGTAATTGTAGTTTCATTATTAGATCAATGAAGGAGAGTTAAAATTCTTATCAAATGATTTGAGTTAATAATTTTTAGAATGAGAAAAACTATGAGGTGGGCTTGCACTTGTCAAATTATGAATTGGAGTTCATATATTTATTCAGACGGATAGTGTAACTGAGTTAATATTATTGGAGCCCACTCTGATGAAGGTTAAATGGGTCCATTTTGATGATTTGAAATTCACCTTCAGGATTAATTTTTTTTATATATAAAATAATAATAAATAACTGAAAAATTAAATGGACAATAGCTTAATTTGTTGAACCTAAATTTATCTGTCAATTGTATCTAATAAATTGAGAGTAAAGGAAAAAAGCGAGAGAGAGAGAGAGAGAGAGAGAGAGAGAGAGAGAGAGAGAGAGAGAGAGAGGGAGAGAGAGGGAGAGAACTTCAAAGTATCCTCTTTCTCCCAAGTTTCAACAAAGAAAATCATTAAATTTATTGTTGCATTTATTTATAGGGGGCTGAAATTATTATAAAATGACATTTGAAATCCTGATCCTCTTTGGTCGGCCGAATTTGATTATTCAATTTTAGGTTGATCGACTCTCAAGTGATTAGTCTTTGACAACCAGCCTCTGAGCCGATTGAGCACTGGTCGGTCGGCCTTTAATCCATTGTTTTCTAGCCAGTCGATCGCTCACTTGATCAGTCTATGACATGTCAACAACTATTGTTAGATTGTCCTAATTTTGGTTCCCTGCATTGATTTACATTCATCTTTTAACAGATGACTTGTTTTAAATTGACTGATTCACGAAAGATTCAGTCAAGAGTATTATTATCGTACAAGTTCAAATAATAATTTTTTACAATATATAATATTGATTGAATAAAGTAAAAAATTGTCATTGTGATAGTTTAAAATAAACTTCAAAATAATAAAGAATATGTACTACAAAATATGTCAGCACGAATCTCAAGACAGATGAACGATTCAAGACGAAAAAACGACCGATTGAACGTAGTTCTTGACTACCGTTTTAGGCTGCATGACGGCTAGAGGAGTATCATGCTCGAACGATCGGTGAAACGTGCCAGGAGAATTCTCACAGGGCAGTGATTAGCCCTCGGGACAATGGACATGAAACATTCTTTCAAATTAAATATCGATAGGGTTGAGGCTTGTCGTATGATCGACAAACTCTTATCAATCGAATCAATTTCCTAATCTTATTGTATTCAAATAACTTTATAATTACTAAAAAATATATTTAAGAAGTTAATGATAAGGTGACTAATATGTACTTTTATAACACTGAGATCTATTCTTATAAAAAAGAGGTTTATGTTCTGAATAAAAGGCTAGACTCTCTTTTACTATAATTGACCTCTCTCTCTCTCTCTCTCTCTCCCTATCTCTCTCTCTCCACTATGAAATGTCCTATATATCTTTGGCGTGTTTCCCGGACATTCTCGGATTCAATATAATACAAACTGTGTTCACTGGAATTAAATTCATCCAAAATAAATTATATCGATAGAAACCCATTAATTAAAACCCCTTTTAGTAATCAAACTTCTATAATTTAAAATGCTTTGTTAACGAGAAAAAAAAAACACCGTCCTGTGTTTATAGCAAATCCATCCTGCTTCTTTTACAGTAATTACTTCTGATGTGTATTCTTTAAACGATAATTGTATTTTCTTTTTATTTTTTTTAATATATATATATATATATATATATATATCGAACTTACTCCATAAAAAAGCCAATGCTATTTTTTAAATTACCCAAAAAAAAAAAGGCAGAAGTAGATATCAAAATAATCAAACCTGCCTAAAAAAATTAACCTAAAAGTCAATTCACACGTTTAAATAAAAATAAATAAAAACATTTTCAAGCTCCACTTTGATTCCCGGCCAATAATCACTACGCTGCTCTGCCTTTTCTTTTTTAATTTTTTTCAGAGTCAAAAACATTATCAATAAAGAAACATTTTATTCATGTCAGATTCCACCACCCACAAAGCAAGGATAATATTTTTTTTTCTTCGTACGCCAAAATTTGACATTTTCGAAATTACAAACTTATCCTCAGGAGCTGAAACATTTTTATCCAGTCTTTTTTAAGTGGATCAATTAATGTGAAATTAACATATTAATTATTTTCAAAGGAGTGCAAACATTATTATTTTCGGGTTGTTGAAAGTTCGGACGGGTGAATTGTCTTTTTCGGGCTTCATAATTATGAATTAGTGTATGATTGAAATGCTTTCTTGTCACGTTGAAACATAATCAATTTGTATAACTTAAGAAATATATTCTTCATTTTTTTAAATAAATTGTATTTTGATGTCTATCACTAAGAATTTTTTTTAGAAAAATGTATTTGGTTTAAAATAAGCGGTGTTACAGTGGCTTCTAAATAATCATTCTCTCATATTATGATTAATAGCATAAAAATAAGAAATATTATTACGTAAATTATGACTAAGTAATGTTTTACATGCAAACTTCTGAACTTCACATTAATCACGGCAATTAAGTACATTAGATCGATGATTAATGTGTTCATACACAGTCAGACAAATGCTTTTATTTGCATAAGTTGATGTCTAAATACTATAATGTTTTTATGAATTGATTTCATTTGACAAATAATTAATTATAATTACACTTGCGGAATTTGTATGGTGGTTTGAGCCATGTTCATCATCTATCAGTCTGAATTTGAGTGCAAGGAAGCACATGCATACCACTCAATATATCTAACACCAAAATTTCAATGTTTACTTCAATTTTTACATGCATGCCCCGTAGCTATGCATGCAAATTTAAGCCTTTTCATTTGTTGCCTTTCGTAACATAAAAGTGATTTAGAAATACATGACACACACTTCTTATGAATTTACATATCTAACACCCAAATTTTGATATTTATACTTAATTATTTAATAATGAATATCCAACAGTTGAATTAAAAGAAATTTTTTTATTTACAAATAGCAATAAATACCAAGTCAATCACACATTCACACTTTATAAGATATAAATCAAAACTTTCAAGTAGAATACACAAGAACTAAATTGTGCACAAAGTGTAGGTGAGTTGGTGGCGGCTCTATGTAAGTCTCCTCTCGACTTGAGTTCGAATCCTAGACCATACGGAATTCGAATTTGAACATGGCGATTGATTGGGAGGTCTGCCCTTAAGCAAATTCTTTCAAAAATAAATAAATAACTAAATTATTCTCTAAGCCTGCATTGCTTTTAAAAAGTTGGTCTTAAAACAGTTATATAAACTGTTGGGGGATACATTGAAAAGGCTCTAATATAATTTTCTAGATTACCATATTATATATTTTTTTTTTTTTGCTTGGGAGGAAATTACATACATAGCACCAAAAACATTGCTATTTACAAATTCAGCACCTCTTTCATCCATTTTTCAAATTCTCACTAAAATGTAAAATTTTATGAGGAAACCTCAACTTATATATTTCTCATCCTTATCAAATTCCCAATGGTTTGATGATGGCATGTAAATGCATTGGTTCAGTAGTTCAAAAACATCACTTTGTGTTAAATTTGTATAGTGATGTTTTGGGTGCGCTATTTGTTACATTTGAGCGAATTTAATCGTAGAAATACACAAATCGTATATACAAGGCTATCAACTCAAAATCTTTTGATTGAAAACCCAAACTCTTAACAAAAAAAAGCTCAAGAATGACGTGCATACGAGCAAATACATGTAGCCCAATTTAAGAAGATTAAATTGAGAAGATTAATGCCCAATCAATATGCAACAATATCAACATTATTTATACTGACCAAAAAAACATTTAAAAAAAAAAATCTACCCTATTTTGAAAATTTAAAATTTAAATCCTTCATAATGTTAGAATAGAGCATTATCCAGCCTGAATGATAAGGAAGTGGGCGAATAATTTAAATACATGAAATTTTAATGGTCATGGGCTCCCCTGGAAGCAATGACATTAAAAAAGTCTATCCAGAAATCCACTTCTCCATATAAAAATTAGATTTTTTTTAAAAAAAAAGCTATAATGAATAATCAAAAAAATTGCAACCAAAGAAAGAATGGAGGAAGAAGAGAATGTAGAAAAGAAGACTGCTTAAACTGAGAAACTGAAGGCTAGTGTAATATAAATCAAAGGTTCAATGACAAATGAGCTATGGTATAACTTACAAATTAAACTTAAATCACTTATCCTGAAATCATTGATGAAATAAATAACACTTTCAAATAAGAATTAAATGCAACAATTTATATCCAATGAATCTCTCAGACGAAGTTACCGGAAGAAGTAGAAAGAGCCCAATAGTCAGTGCCATAGCTTCATACAGAACCCATTTGGCACTGGTGGTGGCCTTTTGCTGCAAATGGCATCAGAAAATGTATCAACCAGCTGACCAGCGAGGCTCCCGGGATCATCAATCAACGTATCAACATAAACACTCACAACTCTCCTCTCCTGTAGTGTCGCCCTCAAGCTGAACCATGTCAGAAATTTGACTCTAAAGTTGCTTTCTATGTACCCATCACACTCCAGCCACCGGATCACTTTAACACAGTATTCATAGTCCCCTTCCATGGGTCCATCCTCCTGACAGAATTCATCACATTGCCCACTTCTTTTCTTTGATGAGCTCCCAGGCTCCTTCTCTGGTTTTGGAATGCCAGTCCCAAGCAGTAAATTAATGCTGGATTTGGCAGATCCAGCTTCCAGCCTGCCAGCAGTGGCAGGAAGGCATGGAACAAGAACCATCTCTTTACCGATGGGAGCTGTAGATGCATTTTCTGATTTAGGAATGTCTAATGGCTGGTTGAGCTCCGTTGAGTTGTTCGAGTCCCGATGGGAGTCCGTGTTCAATGTAGAGTTGGGTTCCTCATCCAGGGCTGATCCAGAGAGGCCTGGCCTTTCTTCCTCATCCATTTCTTTACAGCTATAGATTTGATCACAGGATTTTTCTGAAACCATTACCTCAGGTTTTTCTCTATAACCAAAATAACTGTTACCAGGAGATTTATTCAAGTCTGCATATATGCCTGTATTATGAGACTCATCTGCTTCAGAAGAGGGATTTGAGAGGCCGCTGCTATTAGTTTTTGGTGATGCTTCTTCTGCGGCAGGATGAATAATAGCCTCTTTTTTTATCAAATCATCAGTTTTCACTCCTACTTCCCAATTCCCCAATTCTACTCTTTCACTAAATGCAATAACTTTAAAAATGTATTCTGTGCCTGGAACAAGTCCAGTTACTAGAAACTTTCTATTTGGCTTATAAAGTCTACAAGTTGGCTCGGCAGGATATGCAACTGCATCAACTTTACGATGCCAAATTTTATACCCAAACAGCTCTTCGGATAAAAATGGATGGTAAGTTTCAGAGTCCAAAACTATAATAAGTGAAGATGATGACTTATCTTCAAATTTTATGAATTCAGATGGAATTGAAACAGCTTCTGCAAACAAAGTGCAGCTTTTAAAAGCAAGATGAGCATAGAAACTGTAATGGTAAATCTGTAAATGGCTTACGTTGGAATTGCAAATTTGCGGATTGAGCACTTGATAACAATGTATCTACAGTTTCGATAGCTCGGGCGCAAAGTCTTTGGACTTCAGCACCGACAGTAAGTCTGTTAACAATCCCATGACCCCTGTATTGCGGGGTAAGTAGAAGGCCAACCTCAGATTCTAACATTTTCATTGCTTCATCCACAATTTCATGCAATTTTTGAAATTTCTGGGTTCCATTGAGTAACTTATGGCTTAGAGAAACCCGATGGCAGAGCACATCAACCCTCCTAGCATCCTTTGCAATTATGAGTTGCTTCCTCCAGCATCTGCAAGACAAATGAGAGAAAATTCAGAAAGCAATAAGGTTTAATATATATCTATTCTTAAAAAAGCCCAACCATTTGGATAAATCTAATAATTTAAACATGTTCTGCTCATATATGTTTGGGTTAGTTTCCACTCACCCAGAGTTTGATACACACAAAAATGTGGGCCTTTATTTTTCCTTGAGCAAAGTAAAAGCATCAATCAGATAAACACATTCAAAAATCAAAATCGCATACAGCACCAATAAAATTAAGATTCATATTCAAATCACACCCAACCAAACAAAACAAGATACTAAAAAATTCATTATTTCTAACAGTACAATTTGCTGCCAACACTTTTATGGAACATCAAGGATACTCGAAAAAATATTGAAGGATGGAACTAACAAACAAACCAATTTTTCGAACAAAGCGGAAGAAAATCCCAAAAATTATATTTGCTAATGGAAACCACTAGAATTCATGATGGATAAGGGGATGTGTAACAAATATAAACAGACATCTACATATAATTGATGTATAAACATTGAGCTGGAAGCCTGGAATCTCCTGCATGTGAGGGCATTGCTTCTGTAATTATTTTAGTTAAGCCTAAAACTATCAAAACACCAAATGCAACCTCTTCTCATTGCATGAATAATGCAAGGTCGTAATGCATGGTTGATTGCAAAGCAACAAACATAATTACAAGTGTACAATTTGTGGCAGGCCAAGAAACAATTAGCGGCCAATCAATGAAGAACCTAACAAGAATCAAATAAGTTGGTGAAGTTTCAGATAAAAGCCAAGATATATATGAAGCTCCTTAAACATTATACATAAATATTATTTAACTCGAAACAAATTAGACACAATATACTAAAAACAGCTAAAAATAACAGAAACAAAAAAATAGTCTAAAGTGCCACAGCAGTCAAATTTATCGTTATTAGTAGAAAAGAGATGCTCAAAACAATCCAGTTTTCCAAAATTTTCTAACTTTTTCTTTAAGAAATTGCATAATTTGCCATAATCAACTAACTAGAAGAATGATATATATACTGCTACTACAGTTTTTGGGACATTTAGGAGAAAAGCCATTCACGCCAAACAGCAGTTGATAAAACGTTGAATTCATAATGGATAATGCATTGGAGATTAGCATTCATACTTTTAATTGAAGAAACTGCAAAATTTGCCATAATCAACTAACCAGAAAAATGAGATATAAACTGCTACTTCAGTGTCTGGGACATTTAGGAGATAAGCTATTCAAGCCAAACAACAGTTGATCAAGCGTTGTATTCATAATGGATAATGCATGAAGATTAGTATTCTATACCTTTATATACTTTCATATGGTGATAGATATCCATCTGAGTTGTTAATGCCAAAGATGGAGACTTTTACTTTTATTCGAAAACATGAAGAAATATCCAATAGAAAAGTTACCTCTAATGTGACATCAAGATACTGGGTTTGATGAAAGGGAAACATGTTGTGCATGAATCCAACCAAACCCTGAATTCCATAAGAGCTTCATACGCACTAGTTATATCAGTTTTCTCCTTTTTTTTGTAAGGATCAAATGTAAGCATAGAAACCACCAAGCTAAATTTCTTAACAAACAATTCACATTTGAAATCGTTTCATTAATTTTAATACTAGTTTTAAGGTAAGTTGTCGACCAAACATCAGCCCTTAACTTTTTTCATCCAGACTTTGGACCTACAAAGATGGTTTTCACAATTTAATATGCGAGGAACTTAAAATAAATCTAACAAATAGCATCTCTAATACAAAAAGGTTCAAAATATAAGCATAATCCTGAGTAAACACATATGGCAAGAGATCCATTTAAGAAACAATGAGATATTATGTTAATGACGTAGAGATTTCTTGGTAGTACTCATGCTAATATTTTTTTGGCTACAATAAAATGACTATCCTATGCACTGTCAAAACAACAAAACATTCCTCGGCATAAGCTTTAGATTACAAACATCAAAAGGAAGAACAAGAACACCAAATGTACGCAGACACCTTATCCAAACTTACAATACTTATTTAGAAATCTTACAATACTTATTTAGAAATCTAATATATTTATGCATGCTTTAGAAATCTATTTAGAAATCTTACAATACTTATTTAGAAATCTAATATATTTATGCATGCATGCCTGAAAGAACATCAGAAAAATGGTAACACAACTTTAGCATTGTAGGAAAAAGCAGAGAAAATATATTACCCCAGCAAGCTGTTCACTCTTCTACATTGAACGCAACAGTAGCTCCCATCAAGCTTTGAACGCTGCCCGCTATTTGCCATGCCAGTTCTTTCATCCTTCAGGGCACAGTCTAGATGGCAAGATAAACCACATAAAACACCATGACTCAAATCTTCTGAGCTGCAAAACAGCCATAGGCTCGGGTCCTTATTATCATCATAATTATGACAGATGCAACAAGAACATCTTTTACAAAACAAATCCTCCAGACTTAAAGGCGCCCTGCAAGCTACATTTAGGCACAAACGGGTGCTCTTTGAAGCTTCACTTTCATCACTAAGTGAGAGAACATTCGCTTCAACTGGCAAACGTGAAGGGTGATCATTTTTCCTCTGTCTTTTCACTGGGATTGGAGGATCAAGCCTGGAAGGATGCCCAGTTGAATCTGTGTCATCTACATACTTACCCGACTTCTTCTCAGATACGATTTTGAAGAGATTCTCTATTAGTTTGTGCTTCGTTAAGCCAGTGTACTTCCTCTCCTTTCCCATCTCCACGCAAAGAATCTGTAGGAGATCCCTGCGGCTCCATGTCTGGAGCTTTTCAGGTGCGCTCTCAGGCCATTTGGCCAGTTGCCAAACAATCTCTCTCTTTTCCCTGATGCTTAACTTCTGGCATTTTGATGGGTCAAGCACATATCCTGTTGCAGAATACAAACCCAATATAATAAAAACAAGCAGCATAACGAATAATACATCGTAAGAATTCGATGGATTGAAATGCCGTCCAAAAAAGTAACAATAAAGAAGATATAAATAATTAATAGTGAGTTCGTGATATTCAAACTTTTCACGACATGAAGCCCTCAGTTTGCAACTGTATTTGATTAGCAAGATGCTTCGCTCAACTTGTACCAACTTCAACATCAAAACTCTTCCTTTTTTTTTTTTTTTTTTTTTTTGCATGAAAATATTATAACTTTAATATTGAATAAAATAACACTTTGCACGCCAAATTAATTACATAACAATTGAAACCATATTTTGCCAACTCAAAATAATGTTGGATTTTAAGAGCAAGCTTAACATGCATGGTGGAGGTGCCTAGAAAAAAAAATCTTCATAAACCAATACAAATTGTGACTCCGTTCTACATGAATCTCATTCTACAAAAGATCTACGGAACACTTCGCCACAAGAAAAAAAGAAGGAAAAACTGCCTTGAAATTCTACGAATTAAGATATTCAGAACAGGAAGAAGAATACACACGAAACTAGACTTCTCAGGGCAACCAATAACGTGGAGCACGACAACTCGGCTCAGCTTTACCAGCAAATCAGCGGATATTAAACATGAGATAAGGATTCAACGTTCCAAAACAAAGAAGCGGAAGGTAGAATCAAGCACAAACCATCTACTTTCCATTGAAAAGATGCTTTGTCCTTTCATGGAGGAGAAGAGTTAGAAAGCGTACTAGTAGAAGAAATTCCAAAGCCTAAGCGTACCCTAGCACAACTATCGTCCCCTGCAATGCCTAAAAAACCCACGAAAAGCCATAGCAGAAATTTGCCTGAATGAGGAACCAAACCCTCAAAAGCCCTTAACATATCCAATATTGACCTCAACCGGAATGATTTCCACTCAAAATTTGATGGCTCTAGCAGATCCAGACCATCCCGCGCAAAAAAAAAAAAAAATAACGGAGTAATGGCTAAAAACTCAGCGGCGGAAATCACGAGATGAAGACGAAAGAAGAGGAAACCCACCGAAGAAAGGAGGATCCATGGAGGCGTTAGCTCTTCGTTTCGTCTTCCTGTAATTTTTCACATTACAAGAAGCGAAGCATCACCCCCTTCTCCCCCCCCTCTGATCATCCTCCTCCAACACGGAAGAAAGAAGAAACTGATGAAGCCAATAATAATCCAATAAATTTTGTTTTGCAAATTTAGCCTTTTTATATTCTTATACATTACAATTGGCCTTTAGGGTCTCAATGAAAATATATATAATTGCTTAAGGACGCTGCGACCAAGAATACCTTTTGGGCCATCCATTAATAAATATGCACCCATCTTAAAGCTTAGTTGTGATGGTGAACGGCTCATAAACTTATCTATTTTTTAAAATATTTAAAATTTCTCCATCAAAGTAATATAATATGTCCTAAATTAATTAATGAAAAAAAAAATCATTTATTTTATAAAATGTTATATTATTAAAAGTATGAAAGCATATTGTTCCAATTATCTTACAATTAAAATGTTTTAAGCTTTTCACATTGCATTATTATTCTCTAAAAAAACACGTATTTTCTGTCCAGACACCTGACGTATCTCTACGTGCGGCGCAGGTTATTCCTGAGTTATTCTCAGATTATTTATGGGTTATTTTCAATAATCCCGAAATAACCTAGAAATAAAGACCGCAGGTTATTTCTGAGTTATTTCAGGATTATTGAAAATCACCCAAAAATAACCTAAAATAAGTCATGCACGTCAAGAGTTCGCACATAAAATTTTTTTGCTAAAAAAACGGTTTCCTTATTACTTCTAAATTTTTATGTATCTATAAAATTATCCAACACTTACTTTTATCAGTCATAAGTTGATCTAAACATTAAATAGATAATAAAAAGTTCAACCCGCATTTTTCTAGATTAAATTCTCAATAAATTATAGAAATATATGAACTTTAATTGTTCATAATTTTTTTTAATAAATACTAAATTTATAAATAAGCCGGATTTAATCATTTATTTGAAAATTTTAAATATTCAAAATGTTTCGGCTTTTTCACTTTAACAAGCCTATCCATACAATATTTTAAGTTATCGCCCGACGATCGTCTTAAACTCCCGAGAAAATTATTTGGAGATTTTAATAAAGTTAATAGGCAGACGTGAAAAAAAATTTAACTTTAAAATTTAATACAACATGATTCTTATGTATTGAACATAAACCCTAAACTTTATTTTGCACATTATACCGCATAAATCTTTTATATGGCATCAAAAGTATAATCATTTTTAACTTGGTAAAAGTGATGCATCTTTTCATGCATAGGGATTGTAGCATGTATATAAAAATTAAAATTTAGGGGTTAGATGTGCAAATACACATAAGAATTGAGTGGTACGTTTATAAATCTTCATAAAAAAGGGCCATTTTCTAAGTATTTACATATCTAAAACATATATTTTAGATATCTATATCACCAAAATCTTTCATATTCCATAAAATATTTACCTTTTAAAAAGTTAAATACACATTTTTATACACAAGTAATAATTGAAGTTTATGTGACATATATGTAAATATATAGAAATTAAGTGGCATGCATGTAAATATTTATTTGTTTTAATAACCAACAATACATGACTGCCATTATATACATTTTGTATTATATTAATCTGAAATTATAGTTTATCATGAAAAAAGTTCAATAAGAATATTCTAAGTTATGCTTTTTTCATATTTTGTTAAATCAAGCTCTATTTTTTTTCTTATTTTGTTGCACACTCTCACTCCAAAATAGAGCCGTTTCATTAGTTCTTACGAATAAAAATAGATTAAAAAATTAGTTTGATTCTAATTAATTTGATTTAAAAAGTTTTTTTTTTTCTTTTGTTGGCGAGCTTCGAGAATTGGACTGTTTGGTGTGCGGAGAAATGACCAACCATCTAGCCATGATCTCATCCACAATAAGTAAATCCTATTAAATGCAATCAACTTTTTTAAAAAAATTAAATTAAAAAAAATTACAAAAGTGAAACAAACAATCTGCTTTATTGGCTTATTTGGTTTTATGGCTAATTTAGTAAGTTATTTAATTAATTTTTTTTTAAATAATTTTATGTTTGATACCATATAAAACTCTTTATGTCTCTAATCAATGAATCATCCACTCATTATGACTTTCTTAGAATGGAGAATGCCTTTTATTATAATTTGAAGAATTTACGTTGTATTTGCATATCTAATACCTAATCCTTGATATTTATTTTTATAACACTTTAGTTTCACGGTCCATCAAAATATATGCAAGAAAATATGTATTTTACCCCTAAAAAAATTAATATCAATAATATTTTATAAATCATTAAAAATTTCAGTGTAATGCAAAGAAAAATCAAAATTTAAATTTTAGATATACAAATACATAAAATTATGTGATAAAATCAAATAAGCCAATAAAAAAAATCTTATGTGATAAAAAATCATTTATTTTTATTTTGCGACCTGATTTAGAATCTTCAATTGTTAGATATATTATATCTTGCACAAATCTTCAATTTTGGGTTCCATTTGGCAAAAGAATAAAAACTTTTAGATAAAAAAGAATGGTCAAAAAGGTGAGGAGAAGCGGAAAAGAGGGATTTTTTGCGTTTTAAGAGACAATTGGAGGCGAAGATTTGTGTATTTGCTACTTAACAAAGTCCCCACATGCGAGATTCTAAGTTTGATTGGTTCCTTGTGGCCTTGCTTCACATACCTTCCAATACTTGCATGATTTGTGGGCCTGTATGAGCAGCTTTCCCTATCTCCATTTATATATATATATATATAT